TACTGTAATGTATATCATTATGCGGAATTTAAGTTTTCCCATTATATGAATCCTTATTGGGTTAGTAAACATCTATAATTGCTTTTTAGAAATAATGGTAACTTTCAAACTAGTACTAGCTTCATAAATCCCTATAAATTGTGAAATAATTGTATTGGATATTAATGTTTTTAGAATTATAACTGACTTACTTTTGGAATGTAACACCTTCTGGGTGATTCAACGAAGAATTCCTACACCAAAGTATAAAACACGAATAACTATCAAGCCGGCGACGCCTATGAACAAAATGGTCCAAGTCTTGTGTTAACGTCTGAAATGACAGTCTTTCAGCCTTCTGCGCATTTTTTGCCGATTAGCTTGACCATCAAGACACAAAGTACACTCATTAGAAAACATATTGTCTTCTAATTGGATGGAATTGTTATCCAACATGTCCATCATTTGCTCACAAAAATAATTTTTTTATCAAAATAGTCTTCCATGAGCTCCTGAGTAATTATCATTTTACAAGGATGCATTTTATTTTTTTTCAATATGTTTACTATCGATGTATGGTTAACATTGAATGTAGTGGATGCCTGTTTACTCGATGATATTGATATTGTTTTTATTTGACCACATTATGTATACACATTTGTAGCAAGTTGTACAGAATACACAATTTGTAGTTACACAATAAGAAAAAAAATACATAAAGTTGGAATAACGGGGTCTCTCAGTCAAAAAATCAAAACTCTGCTTTGCTTTGTCAAGCTTTCGCTTCTAGTGGGAAGCATCTTCAGGGCAGTACAAATGAGTAAACACAATTAATTGAACATATAAATCGACGAAGAAAGTTAAACATCAATGGAGTATTAATATTAACATTGTTTTGTATCAAGATGGAGTAGTAGAAAGCCAAAAACTTTCTTTCCCAAAAAATTAATCACTCCTAAAAATATAACCCTTTCAAATCAAATATCTCTCGTATACTTCATCATTCCTTGTTCTGTGCCTTCCTTCAAGTTATTCTCTACAGAATGAATTAAACCTTGTTTTATTATTAGCTTTTGTTTGCTTTGGTTAAAACAGGGGTATAAAAATGTGCTCTCTTCCTGAGCTCATATTTATATGAAATTGTCTTTTAATTACTTCTGGCTGGTCAATTATGTAGGTTTCATTAATTGGTTTTTCGATGGCCATTTTATTGATTCATTTTCCATCAAAGCAAATCCATTGACCTCATGCGCTCTTTCTGATATATTGAAATTGTTTTTGAATTTATAGATTTCGATGATTTTCCAGTACAACTACATATTTTGCAGATGTAGTTGACAACATTTGGGATTCCTTGAATTTGATACGGTGCCTTCTGTAACCATAAAGGTGGAATGCAATCGAAAATTCTAGCACTTTACCCTTCCACCTACAGGGAACTCAAGAGGGATCCGTCAAAATAATCATTAAACAAATCAAGATGTCTTCAGTACCAGATAAATAAAACATGGCGGCCAGTGACAATCACATAAATGTTGAACTTCTAGAGAAAAAAAAAATGAAGCATTTAAATGCTGCAAAAGTAAAACAAATTCCGTGTCAGTGTGTGTGAAATGTGGAAGGGCGTTTCATAGGCGCTATCTAGAAAGAAAAAGTACCAAACAGTAGATGAAACTCGAATTATCTGCTGTAACGATAGGAACACTGACCAGGATAACATTAAGGAATATCTAGTGCTGGACGGTAGTGAAGAAAATTCAAATGCAGAATCAAAGGTACAAGATATAAATCTCAAAAGATAATATGAATTGGATAATATGAATTACTAAGTTACATAATACTAGAAAAAGAAGAAACATTTGCCATTCAGATGGAAAACAAAAAACTGCTAGAATACAAAGTAAATAATCTGCGCAATGAAATAAATAATATAGTATTTCCAATACCAATTGGAACAGCACAGAGAAGGAATTCCCGCCTCGAAATAGGCGTGGTAGTTTTTCAGTTACTTATTCTTACAATCATAGCAATTGATCACCCCATGAAAAAGTTATCTCAACTGAGTTTTTCCACCATAGGTGATCATGAAAAACTTCGAAATTCAAGGTAGTTGATTTCCGAGTCAAAAACTCTAAAATACAATGAAAACACAAATAATCACAACGAATTCTTGTCAAACATATATTCACAAAATAATAGAGGCCAACAAAATTGCTAGAAAAATCAAAATTCTTCTTCGCTACATTCGGATGAGGTGGAATCATCATTGGGTTGAATAACGATCCGATTTATGGAACTTTGCATATAATATTTGTTCTCTTCTTCCATCACACATCACTATTAGCTACTCCATTCACCACTCGCCTTATATTGTCAAGCACTACAGCATTCAAAGTCGGTGACTGATTACATTTCCGCAAGCTTTCTTTCATTGTGGACCTCATCAGCGCGGTGCAGCCAAGTGTAAAGATGGGCAACACTTGTTTGCCGAAAGCAGGAAACAACATAGACGCACGGAGTCAACAACAGAAGCCAACCGCACATTTGTGGTTCCAGTTAGAAGACCTAGAATTCCCAGGCTACATCTAACATGACCACGCAGGCAGCTATGGCTACCTACGTGACATCCGGGTCCAGGATATGAATACAGAGAGATATTTTATCGAGTGTGTATGATACAAATAAAAAATGTAACAAATGGTGGACATAACACTTCTGTTGTTGACTCCGTGCGTCTATGTTGTTTCCTGCTTTCGGAAACCGCGGACACGTGTTTCTGGCTATTGGCCTCATTAGCGCGGTGTAGCCAAGTGTAAAGATGGGCAACACTTGTTTGCCGAAAGCAGGAAACAACATAGACGCACGGAGTCAACAACAGAAGCCAACCGCACATTTATGGTTCCAGTTAGAAGACCTAGGCTACATCTAACGTGACCACGTAGGCAGCTATAGCTACCTGCGTGACATCCGGGTCCAGGATATAAATACAAAGAGATATATTATCGAGTGTGTATGATACAAATAAAAATGTAACAAATAGTGGACATAACACTTCTGTTGTTGACTCCGTGCGTCTATGTTGTTTCCTGCTTTCGGCAAACAAGTGTTGCCCATCTTTACACTTGGCTGCACCGCGCTGATGAGGCCAATAGCAAGAAACACGTGTCTTGAGCTCGCAGTGGTATAGAGGCAGGCGAAGGACAATTTTGTTTTGGCCTGCTGCCATCTCATCAACTATATATTTTTGGTATTCAAGCTTGCGCTCCTTGACAATTTTTAGTAGCTGTACTCTTAGTATTGAGTCTTCAAAGCTAATATTCTTTGACCGCAGCCAATTTTGGATTTCAACCTTCTTTGAAAACGTTGTCGGAATCTTCTCTAACCGTCGCGAATGATAAGGTGCATTGTCCATTACAATCACAGCATTATCCTCCAGATGGGGTAGAACTTTGGACAACCACTATTCTAAAGATTCACCCTTCATTTCTTCGTGATAATCTCCAGTTTTCTTCGACTCGAAACACCACAGCCCTTCAGCAACAAACCCAATCTCATTGTCGATGTGACAAATAATTAGCCGTTTTCCTTTACTTGAAATTATGAAGAGGTATGTAAGTAAATGAAACAAATACGAGGGTTACTTTTTATATATTGAGATTGAGGCAGGTCTTGATATAAATATAAGTTTACCAATGGATTTGTTAATCCGGTGGATAGTCCATCTAGAAAGGCCCTCCTAGATGAGGTCACAGTTTCATCGACCCATACTTTAGGGGTAGTATGACCAGCATTAACACAGGTTTCATCCATATAATAAATTGTTCTCTGTTGTTCCCTATACTATTTAATTTTGGTCAAATAGTCTCTCCTCCATAACACAATTTCCTCTCTATCCAATGATAAACTATTGCGCCCTCGTTTTTTCCATACAAAATTCAAATGTTTCAATACTTTATGGAGTGTTGACCGCTTAAAACTTGGCAATAAAACATCTTCATTTATTTCTGTGAGTACTTTGTCTATCGTGGGTATTTCATTTCTGAAAAAGTACTCATGCACTTTCCTCCTGATTGCATGTTTATCAGCATCATCTATTGATTTTATAATGGTTTGACGATTCTGATTTGTATTCGGTTTGGAAAATGTATGATTTTGTTTATATTCCAGTAAAACATTGTAAATCGAAGCGCAACACACTCCAATTTTATCGGAAACTTTCGATACGACTTCGTCGACAGTTGATGTCTCAATTTCTTCCATCTCTTTCTTGAACACCTTTAAAATCACTTCTTTAATCTCAACACTCAAATGTCTTTTTTGGATCGTTTCCTGGCTGGACTCAGAGGAGCTGCCCACAGTGTCATCAGCAGTGTCTGTACTGGACATCTTGGAAAACAATTTTAAACAATATACTATAACGCACGCCACACAAACACGCAAACGACTGATTACAACCCTGTGCTGGTACCGAACTCGTACCAAGAAGGCGAATTCACCAATGAACGCTGCCCTTTCCATCTGACACTGGGCGATCACGTGAACATCACGCTTCGGTTTTGTTTTACTCTATCTTGGATTTGGATAGACTTCAGTTCATCCTCATTGTTGCAATAAACTTGTGAGCGATAACATTTTTGAATAGAGAATGAAGAGACTTTTCAAACGGTATATTACAAACCTTTACTTTCCATTTAAACAATTAAGGGTTGTACCTGTCATTCGAAGAGAGTTGAAGGTAGGGATGGTATTTTTCCGTGAAGTATGTTGTAAGTTAAATTTGACGTGTTTCGGGATTTTTTAAAAATATGTAGATACCGTAACCGAAATAATGAATTTATTCTATTTGGCTTTCACACACTGTATTTAACGAACATTTTTCTGCTTATTGAATGCAATTCTGGTAATTTCGCTTGTATTCAACTTGAGTCAATTCGGTCAGCATTTATTCAACGTTTGCAATTTGAATTGACTCCCTTTAAAATCATTGAATATTATTTTTTGAATAAATCTTTGTATTTCAGAGTGGAATGGCCGGCCAACGATCGCATTCAGCGGCCCCATGCGACTCCCCAAGCATCCACATGTCCCGTTCTCGTTCCAAATCTCCTCGTCGATCTGCCACTGACCATCGGTCCCTCTCTCCACCCGACGTTCGCCTTTCCGACTATACCCCTACCACCTACAAAACATCGCGATTTCAGTCACGAAGCGCCACAGCGACACCTACTGGATCTCCAAAGAAGCGTCAGTTACCCCAAGTGCCCCAAGCTCTAGCTCGCGCCCTGCAGGAGCGGGTTACTCAGGATCTGGAGGGATCCAACAGGAATCGCATGAGGTACGTCCATACCTACAGAAGCACCGGATCGGGTTGGGAGAGAAGGTACAGCGGTTTAAGCGACAGTGATCTGGCGAATCATTCGAGGTCGACCAGGAGGTCTTTTTCGCCGGAGAGAGATCGAGACAGGGACCCTCTGGGCCTCGTAGACTTTGATAGCGATATGGAGAGTGTTGTTTCGGTTACGAGCAGTGCTTTTTCTACGCAATCTGAGAGACCGAGAGGGACTAGAGCAGTAGGGTGAGTTTATTGTCATGAGGCATCTTAATTTTTTTCTATAAGGCGTAGGCGTATGCGAAGGCGTTTGATTGTGTGAAGGTGCAAAAACTCGAATTCTATGGAGTCAGAAATGGGAGTTTGAAATGGCTAAAAGCTCATTTAGAACAGCGCAAACAAATCGTTCGACATGGTACGGAGTCTGAAGTAGGACACATACAATATGGCGTCCCTCAGGGTTTGGTTATTGGCCCATTACTTTTCCTACTGTGTATCGATGACATCACTAAATTGAGCATCTTAGCAAAAATTACCCTCTTTGCGAAAAATTACCCTCTTTGCGGATGACTCCACTGTACTGTGGCACAGTAAAACACCACAGCAACTGTTCAATAAAATATATTTCTTGGGTTTCTTGGGTTCGAAATTGACAATAAACTAAGTATCGTTTAATAGCAGAAAACAAAATATTGAGAATGACAGAGCCTTATGAAATGAAACTCAAAATCCCCAATAATAATTTATTACTACAATAATTTTTGTTTATGGCGTAGAATGAGTTACATACAATGAGTTACATACAATATCTGGGACACCACCCAAGATAATTTTGAACGAATATGTTTTGCCATTACATGGATGATGAATAAAAATAATAGGATTGTATACCTTTTAAAGAGCTTCAGAATCAGCTCTGCCTTAGACGGTATATTGGTGATGGTGAACGTGTATGGTGGATGTGCCAAACAGGGTGCCTGGTGGATTTACTTCCACCTGAAGTGAAGAAGATTCAAACGCATCAGCTGATATTTGTGGAATAAAATCTGCCTTGCAGTGGAACCTGCATTCTGAACACTTCAATATAACTACACATCGGGCTTGGGATATATCTACGGAGTTTGGGATACTGCCTTCGGTTGAAAGTACTGATACGGTTCAATTACAACAGGAAGCTGTTGAACAGGGCCTCGTGGTACCCGTGTTAGACTTCTTGAAATTAGACTCGAAAAAGGGAACTCCAGGAATGGAATATTTCTTCTCAATTTATAGTGAGTAAAGATTATCATGCTCCAACGGAAAAACGCTGTGAAATAGGCTTAGTTACAACCAATTCCAACATACAAATAAAGGCAAAATGGCGAAGGGAAGCTTGCAAGATTTAAATACTGAAATTACATACCTATCGGGTTCAGAGGATGAACTTGCTCTCAACAGAAACAAACTAAACACCAAAATTACAATCTGTGTGAGCATATCCTCATCGCAAAAGAAACATTCTCTCAAAGGAAACCAGTGCTTATGCCTCGCCACTCTGAAGTCACGCCGGCCATCCAAAAAAGAGGACCTTCTTTTTTCATTTCAAAAAAACTTCTTAAAAATGAACCTACAGCGCATTCTGACTGGCACACATTCTGAGTCTGTTTTCCACGTCGAAACGGTGATGTCAGACAAAGTAACTTGAGTTTCATTATTTTCGGACAGATTAAGATTTGAACTGGAAATAATAAAATTTATATATACACATATACAGCGTGACTCACGGTCGATGGTAGGTTAGACGTTTCTGGAAAACGCAAAGCATGATTTTTCTGAAAATTTCACTTTTCACATTTCCTTACCTGTTCTATCGATCTGAAATATTCTCAGCATTGCGGCGTTGCCACTTGTATCAAAAAGTCCTAGCAATTATATTTTTTTAAATGGAACATTCCTTATAATAATACATTTTTGGAATAGCTCTGACATTTTAATACTTTTTTGTTAATAATATCCTATACCTTTATCTATCTGTTTTCGAAATAAAAAATGAATTGTGCTAAATATGGTACATATAGCTTCTTTACAAGCCTCAGTTCTGTACTGGACAAAGCTATAGTTGTCGTTTCTTATATTCATATGAGATAACAGATCCTAGAACTTAAAAAGAAAATGTGTGTAAGATCTCCTATCCAAAATATTTGATGCCCAGTCTGCATCAACAAAACCTTCTAAGTTACAATCATCTACGGTGAACATTAGCCTATAAGATTTAGTTTTACATAAATATCTCAATTCGTTTTGCATGCTTCCGGTGAGTAGGCGATTATACAGGGTGTAACTAAATAAGTGTAAAACATTCAAGGAGGTGATTCCACATCGAAAAAAAAATAGGATCTTTTTCATAAATAAATTTCATTGGAGCATCTCTTGTTAAGATACAGCCCCATAAAGGGGGCACATAGAATTTGTATAACAATTTTTTTCACAAGCACTGAGAAAGTTACAATATTGAAATTGACCTGACGTTTCGTACTACAAAAAGACACTCAGCCAGAAATTTATTTGGTTTGCCCCATGGTTGTAAGGGGTGGAAAACTCAACACATGAAAATTATTTCCAATGTAACTTTTTGTTTTATTATTTGGGTACCATTTAAAAATTCATTTCCAAAAGCCTGTTTCATTCTAAACAAAAAATGTCTCTTGGGTTTTTTGACCAAAATAAACCAGTTCGCAGCAAAAAATTATTTTAGGAACAACTACGGAGATACATCGTCATAAATGCGAAAATACGTCTACCTATCTAGTAGGTCGCTATTAGCGATAGTGACAATTAAAATTGGTATGACGCTGTCAGTTTGTGAATTTTCGAAATTGAATTTATACTGATTGTGTTGTTTTTGTTCTGTTCTTAATTTGTTACTTCAATAATTCACTTGTTATTAAAATGGCATACACAAATGAGAAAATGGCTGATATGCATTACGTTTACGGTCTGTCGCAGGGGTTAGAAGCTTCTAGAAGATATGCTGAAATGTATCCTCAACGGCAGCATCCTTCACGCCATCGAGAAGTACGAACACCACAGCTCAAGGAAGCAGTACTTAATTTGATTGAAGAACAACCTACTACCAGTACTAGAAAGATTGCTTTCCAGCTGAATGTTGATCATATGACGGTATTTCGAATTTTAAAGGAACAACTCTTATACCCTTACCATCTGCAACGAGTACAGGCACTGTTACTGCGAGACTTTCCGAACCGTCTTGAATTTTGCAATTGGATGCTGGAAATGATTAGAAGAAATTGTGACTTTCTGAAGACGATAGAATTGACAGACGACTGTAGTTAACGTGTGGCTCGGAGTTATGGGGGATGATTTAATTGGGCCTCATTTTCTACCTCCTCGATTATATGGTGAGGCATACGTTCAATTTTTAAGGGAAGTGCATCCAGTACTGCTGGAGGAAGTTCCTTTGGGCGTGAGAAGGGATGTGTTTTTTATGCATGATGGGGCCCCCGCCCATTTTAGTCAAGTAGCACGTCAGCATTGAACTGAAACATATGCAAATCAGTGGATAGGTCGAGGAGGACCACAGAACTGGCCCGCTCGATCCCCGGATCTCAATCCTTTCGATTTCTCTATTTGGGGCCATTTACAGCATTTGGTTTATCGTACTCCTGTTCGCGATGTAGAGGACTCGAGAAACTGCATCATCGATGCGTGCAGAGTAATCAGAGAGACTCCAGGAATATTTGAGCGAATATGTGGCTCAAGGCGCCGAAGTGTTATTGAATTTAAATACAATGTAGGTGTACGCAATACATGTAAATAGTAGAATTTAACAGAACATTGACAAAAGAAATCCGTGATTTGATGTGAACAAAACAGAAACAGCAATGAATGAGAAGTAACAAAATCCATTCTGAATTAAACAACAATTCTTGAAGTATGCTCTTCAAATTGAGTATCCATTTAAAATCGAAAACACCATCAGGTGTGTATTGTAGTATTGCCAACTCCCAGCATAGTAAATCAAAACAATTAGAGGGTAGGCAAAGCTTACTTTAGCAGTAACTACTGCTTGTGTAAGGTGGAATTTATATTTTTTACTGGAAGGTTTTATGGGCACAAGAGCAAACGTTGGGTTCTCTACATAGAGGGGGTCCTTTTATTTGTTGCTTCCCACTACTTGACTGATTCAGCAGTGTGTTGATTGGACAGTATGAGAAAGATTTCGTATTTTTTGAAGATAATTGTCATGAAAAAAATTATGGATGATATTGAGGTTATAGGTATAAGAATTTTATAACGAATTTTTTTTGGCGAATAAACAGCTATCGAGTGAATATTCAAAAACACTGCCTTCTTGTTGAACACCAATTTGGGCCATTCTCTTGATACCACCTGTTGATTCCCACACAATTTGGTCATCAATTCTATTAATTATAGGTTGAATATAATTTTTCAGTTCGTCTAAATCATTATGTTTCACTTTGCACACCTCATTTTTCAGAAATCCCCAAAAATAAAAATCTAGAGGTGTCATGTCTGGTGAACGAGGAGGCCACTTAACAGGACCATTGGTAGCAATACATATGTTTCCAAAACAGTGTCGCAACATTCTTTTTGTTCAACTGTCATTAAGAATAATATGTTGATTGGTTGTCAGGAGTATCAAAAGATAAAGATAAAATAATTCAATATCAGTGTTAAAAGTATTTTCAACGCTATTTTTTTCGAGCACATACCAATAAATGAAACATAATTATTCAATTTTCGAGGAAGTCTCATTATGAACAATATATATGGATACATTTAAATTCTGTTACTTATGTATTATATTCATTAATTACATTATTATCATTTATGAATATTAATATGACAAGTACAATTAGAACAACTGCTGATGTTGATACCTTGCGATGTTGAAGAGCCTTGTAAAATATATTTGAACTATCTGAGTTGACAATTTCATGCTGGGCATTTCTTGAAGTGAAGAGGACGATGCTGTAACCCTGGAGCTAGCTGTTGGTATTATTTTTACAGCAATAGCATTTTCATAAGAAATATATTGATGGATATAACCCTTAGCTATTGTTGTGGAGTTCCATCCTCCGTGCTTTTCACTATCCTGATTCTGCCGAAGAAGCAGAAGACCTTTTGAAACAGTGACCTGTATACAGTGGCGGCGCAAGACCTGAATTCAATGTGGGCAAGATACATTTGGCAAAGCCCTCTGATGATGCAAGAAGAAGGGTTTA